ACGAATGTATACAATACCACGGTCGATTTAAAAACGATTCCGTTCGGGTTAACATGATTCGGCTCGATTCGGCTCGGTTCGGCTCGATTCGGCTAGGTTCGGCAATGTTGTTCGAGAACTGAAATTTTGTTTGATAACCGAGGCATTTTCATCTCAAATATTCTGTTCGAAAACCGATTTGTTCGACATGTAAGACATTCAATAACCGAGGTTGCTCTGTACAGTCTTTTAACCAAAATGCCACGAAGGCTCTCGCCAAAATTTACATGCACATGCTCCAAGTTAGCGGGAAGGACAAGACCGACATTGCATTTCCCAACTCCCATCGATAGTGGAAATAATCGATTTTTTCATGCTTCTATGGCAGTTTTCATGTAGTTTGCGGCCATTTTGTACTGGCCACAGTGAAAGCCAATAGCTGGCTGCCACGAATAGACAGGAAGATTCTATTGGCCAGCGTGAGAGCCAACAGCTGACTGACACGAATGTCAGCATGCAACAGCTGACTGACACGAATGCTAGCATGCAAAAAAATCGGTAGATGCATTCGTCACAAGTGGGAAAAATTTAAATCTGCATGGCACTTTACTCCAATTGGCTCATTCGCTTGCTTAAACTCAACGTTGATTCTGATTTCGCAGAACTGTGTTGGGTGTGAAAAAGTATTTGTTGTTAACATTCTTTTTTCATTCGGTTTTTCCAGTTACGAGTTTTTTTTAAAGCTGATCGTTTTGTGTTCATTTTGTTTAGTTCTTTTTTCGTAACGAATTTAATCTTTAGTATAGAGCTTAGAAAAAATTCGCAGTGTGAGATAGGCAAGAAGTAAGGCATGTAGCAACATCAGCACGGCAAAGGACACTCCTTTAAAGGCAAGGAAGGGCAAAAATATTTTAAGTCAAGTGATAGCGATTGTTGTATGAGTCGTACGATTTTTTAATCAAGCACGGGCAACGCCGGGCCATGCTGCTAGTATATATATATATATATATATATTCATTTTTCGAGGTCCATCGAAGCCTAACTGTTTCAAATATTCAGTAGTCTTGTGAGCAGCATGTGAGGGAGCATTATCCTGCATAAAAACAATGGCCCTTCTGAAGGCAACTCTTTGCCTTTTCATCCGTGGTTCAAGATGCTCCTTCATAAACGCTATGTATGCATCAGCAGTCATTTTGACACCATCTGGTACTCTCCATGGGCCCACTAATGTTTTCCAATAATACCACCCCAGATCATTATGCCTCCACCGCATTGTTGGCGTCTCAAACGCTGATGGCGATTCTGTCCGTTCATTACCCAAACTTTGCACCATCTATCTGGCCCATCAAGTGTTGCTCGAGTTTCGTCTATGAAAAAAGCTTTAGAGAAGTCAATCTTCATATTGTCCTCGACCTATTTCAATCGATTTTAAATGTGATTTCTCGTCAACGGAGGCTTCGATACAGGTTTGACTGTTGTTGCTATTTCCGTCAGATACCGACACCGAGTACTTTTAGACACAGTAGGATCCCCAATGCGACTGATAAGCTCTTAACTGGTAAGTCCAGGGTTCTTCGTGGTCTCTCGTTTAAGTCGTGACATGAGACGACGTGAAATAACCCTCGGCTTGCCTTTATCTGCCCTTTTGCGTACTTGTGTAGGGTTGGCGGTGAACTTTTTCACTATCATTTTAGAAATTTCTAGGGTAGATTTACCTTTTGAGAGTTCTGAGGTGATAGTTTTCTTTTCAGCATCACTTAAACTGCTTTTACGGGCCATCTTTTCACTAAATTCTTACACTTTTCTAATAATTTGGCACGCTCAAATCACCGTGCTGATAACAAATATGGCGCCAGTTTGTTTATATTGCACAGATCAGTATGAAAAAGTGATTGCGCAGATCAGTGTTGCCAACATTGTGTGAAAATTTTGTGTGAATTGATTGGACTGTTTTTGAAATATTAGAAAAAAAGTTATCTCGATAATAATTTGGCACGCATGTATATATATATATATATATATATATATATATATATATATATATATATATATAAATGGTGGTATTCTAACTTGGAAAAACCTCGGATAGCTCGACTTGCAGTAGAACAAATCGGTACCCGAGGAAAAATGGGGAATAAAAAAAAGAAAGAACCAAGAACATAAAAACAAGGCGAAAACAATCGTCCATAGCTCAAGCTCCAATACCAAAGAAAAAACAAAACAAAAACACAAAACGAGTAAAAAGACAACTACGTAAAGTGTTCAATACACGAACTAGAGCAAAACCTAAGATAATCCTAAGGAGCCAGGCAAACCTACCGAGGTTTCATCTAAACGGATCGTCAGCACACACACACACACACACACACACACACACACAAATATATATATATATATTAAGACATTTTTTTATGTTTATACGTTCTTTTTTATAGACACAAATATTTAAGTAAATGCTATGTTTATAATAACCACACTAACAACATTTACCGACCTGAATGTCCGAGAAATTTTCATAGAAAATATGCGTCCTCCGACAGGAATCGAACCTATATCCTATGAGGAACCGTCATATAGCCTGGCGTGCTTTACCGATTTAGACGCAGAGGAGCGTTTCGGTTAGTAAGGTCGATTTTACTGTTTTTAAACTACAATTCTCCATTATTTTTTCTCGTACATTCATATCTGCTCAATGCGTATCCAAATGTAAACAAATGACGTCACACACTATGAAATGGACAAAGTCTGACAATTATTTTTAAAGACATTTTTTATGTTTATATATATGCGAGAGGTTGGAACTAACATGATATGATGTTTCATTCTCTGCTCAGACTGCTCCTGTTCAATTCACGCTCAATTTTTTTGGAATTGGCAAGACTCCACATGCCTGAATGGGTGGGAGATTTTTCCCATCAAATTTCTTGATAATTATAAATAAATTTGTCTTTGGCATGCCACATTGGTTGGCCGAGAAGGAAACATAAATGAATAATTCCCACTCACATAAATATTTTACCATGCAAACGATAGCAAGTGTAAGAAGCTGCTATATCTATTATCAGTATTAACAGAGGATAGGAATATCTGAATCTATGTATGTATGAGATGCCAATGAAGAGTTAAGGGAACTTGGGTCGATGTAGTACGGAAATTTGACACTATCCTTTTTTGAGCAATAATTTTTGTTACCTGAAGAAACTACTTTGGAGGAAATAGTAGAAATAAGGAGGTAGGACGTCTTATTTTTTCATGGCCAAATCTCTCAGACATTTTCTTAGTAGAGTTTACTCCATAAATATGAGACAGCAGTAAGGCCCGAACATTGCTAGCTATCCTTCTAGAAAACCCACATGACGCACATACTCACCCGAAAACATTTCTTATATCTGTAAGTGCGTATGTATGCATTTACATCTCTCTCTCTCTCTCTCTCTCTCTCTCTCTATATATATATATATATATATATATATATAGTAAAAGTAATAAATCTGTTGGTATATAATCCAAGCGGAGCCGAGTAATATAAAATATTAAAACTGATCCACAAAAAGAGCTCAATATATTTATTATACAGACCAAATAAATAGTAGTACACTATAAAATCCCAAATTATCTCATAGAGGGAATAAACCTATTTCAGTCAATGAAAATTTTTATTCAACCCAGGTATATAGACTGAGTTCGTGTCGTAATTAGAAATTTAACTGTGACAGGTGTCGAAAAATTAATATAGAATTTATCCATTTCAGTTTTTCAGTCAATCGAAAGGCAAGAGACAGTGATCAGAGAAGCTTAAAGGGAAGAGGTTTTATAAAATGAAAACCGCATATTAACCTTATGACATTAAATTTGGTTATATAATGTTAATTTGAAACTAAGAGAGGAACAAAAGGGTTGCTTTGAAAAAAAATATATAGATAAAGTTAAGTTTTAAAATGCAAACTACTTAAAAATACACTTCCAAAGATGAATTATACTTAAAAATAAGATCCTCATATGAGGTAAATTTGTATTTTATAGTGTACTATATATATATATATATATATGAATTTTACCACAATCGATTCATGAGATAGGTAACATTATGATAATATCGATGATGATTTGGCACAAGCATTGCAAGTGAAATTCTGTCGATAAAACTGATCGGAAGACCTCGATGGTTTTTCTAGCTCTATATTCACTAGACCCTGTTTTTTTTTGGCTACTTCCAAAATTGAAAAACATCCTGAAAAGCTATTATGATCGAGGATTTGAGCGAATTGGCGTAATTCTCTTGCTACTCACGTCAGGTTTTGCGTCTTCACCCAGAAACTGTAACTGAGGGTCGCTCAGCATAGTTTCATTATAAACCACAGATTGGCTTTGTGGGTGTTGAAGAAACATAAATCTGTCTAAGCAGGCGTCTGTCTGGAACCGGGATTAACCAGCCACCCTAGTAGACGGATAAACATGAAAAACGGGTATTACTTAATTATCTATGTATCCAACTATATATTTATTCAGTACAATAAATCTTAAAATTTCTTTTTATTTTCATTGCCTATTTGTGTAAGTACAGGTGGCAAAAAGGAGGAAAAAGTATTTAAAAGAAGACACAAAAGGAGAAAAAAGGGGAGCATTTTATGCGTTACTTTTTATTTGGTATAATCATTTAGGGTGTGCAGAAAAAAAAACATTCTGATGGGTTATTTATTAAGCTGCAACAAATTTTTTTGGAAATTTCAAAACTTACGGTCTTATCGCATTGAGACACCGGTTCTCGTCCGATCACCGAAGTTAAGCAACGTCGAGCCTGGTCAAGGTGTCGTAAACTTGGATATCTAGTTGTTATAACAGATAAACGACACAGAATGTGAAATCATAGAGCAGAGTTCGAATTCAAGTCAGATTTGTTGCATTCACTTACGCGCAGATACACTTAGGGAATCTCATCTCAGTTATTGGTTAAATAGTTGGCTTGTATCTACAAATCAGTATCTTGGTGGGTGGTATAAAGTGTTAACAACTGTATCATATTGAAACACCAGTTCTAGTCCGATCATCGAAGTTAAGCAACATCGACCCTGGTGAGTTCCATGATGGGTGACCGCTTGGGAATAACAGATGTAATCTTGGATGTGCTGGTCGTGTAATGGAAAACGCTTTGGAATGGAAAATCGGAGAGTTGGGTTTGTATTCTAGTCGAATAAGTTACATTCACTTAAGCGGTTACCCAGGGGCGATCATGAATCGAAAAAGAGACATGATCTACCAAGCGGGTCATTAACACACATTGGGCTAGTGAGGTAGGATAATGGTACATTCCCACTCTTGGCACACATCGAAAAAGAGACATTCAAAGGTGGGGAGGTAGTAGAGGTGAGGAAAAGTTAACCGACATTTCCGGTGTCTCGGCGAAGAGATTTATTAAATCTGTTCAAATATTTGAATATATATATATATATATATATATATATATATATATATATATGAACTAAAGCCACCTTTTATTTCTTTAAAACGACTTAAAATCAAATTTTTTTTAAAGTATGAACAGACTTAACATCAACAATCTAGGTGTATGTGAAACCAGATGGCCAAACAACGGTGATTTTGTCAGCGACAATCACAGGATAATTTATGCAGGCGATGAGAAGAACGACAAAGGAGTAGGACTAGTACTAGATAGCGCATCTAAGAAATGCGTTCTAGGATACCACCAACTTTCCGAAAGAATTCTGGTAGTGAAGCTGAAAGGAAAGCCTTTCAAAGTGTCTATTATAGAAGTGTAAGCACCGACGACACAAAGCAGGGAAAAAGACATCAAATCGTTCTACTCAATGCTGGACAGTGACAGGGGTCTATGCAGATAACAGGAAGTCATCATAATCATGGGAGACCTAAACGCCAAAGTAGCCAGGGAAAGGGCAGGGAATATAGCAGGAAGATTCGGACTAGGAACCAGTAACGAACGCGGAGAAAAATGGATCCAATGGTGCACAGCCAATGACCAGGTAATAACCAACAGATGGTTCCAAGAACAGCCGAGACGACTATGGGCATGGAGACGTCCAGGAGGAGAAACTAACAACCAAATTGATTATATAACCATCAACAAAAGATTCCAGAATGCAATGATTCACTGCAAAACCTACCCAAGTGCCAGACTGCGGAAGCAATCATCGCCCTCTTATATGCAAACTAAGAGTGAAACTGAGGAAACTGAAGAAGCCTAAAGCTTGCTGAGAGCTGCAAGGGAGACAGGGAGGTGGAAAGCCATTATTGTCTACGTCCTTAAAAGACATGGCACATAAATTGAAAAAAAAACAAAAAAACTACAGTGTATTTTTTTAAGCATTTCACTCTAAGCAAAGCGCGAGAGCCACTAGCACGAAAGGAGTTACAGAAAGTAGAATAAAGAGGGATATTTGAGGAAAGGATAAGGAGAAGGTATCAGAAGATGTCGATTGACATTACATTTAAATATTTGAAGATTATAGTTATCAGGGAAGCAAGTAAGAGGAAGGGAGTTCCATTAATTTCATTTTTAGTCTTTCTTCAGGCTCCTCTTACTACCAGAAAGTTCAAATTTGGATTCGTCTGTCTACTTTTCTAAATTATAAATATATTGTTTGAGAAACATCATATTTTGTTTTCACCTCAGTAGAATTTTAGAAATTACCAAAACGGCTGAAGATTTGATTAGTCAAAGGAATCTTGAAAAAAAAAGCAAATTAAAAAAAAACATCATTCGATTTTTAAAAGACATACCTTACCATCTGGTTTACGCGTAATTGTAAAAGAAAAACACCTTTCAATAAACAATAGCACAAATTATGTCAAAATTACTTGGTGTCAAAAAAAAAAAAAAACAAACTTTTAGAATATTTGACATGGACGCATCAATCCCCTGATCTCTAACAAAGAAAAGAATACTGAACTGTTACGTGACATCTGTCCTTCTTTTCGGCAGCGAATGTTGGAAGATTTCCTCAAAGATGAAGAAGAGATTCAAGGCGACAGAGATGTGTTTCTATAGAAGGATGCTGAGGATATCATGGACCGAACGTGTGAGCAACGATGGGATCTTAGAGAGGTTGAAAACAAAGAGGAGGCTTATACTTAACATCAGGAAGAGGCAGCTGATGTTTCTGGGACACGTAATGAGGAAGGAGGGCCTGGAGAATCTGATACTCACGGGTCGAATAGAGGGAAAGAGCGACAAGAGAAAACCACGCGTGACATACCTGGCGGACTTAAGCAAGTGGGTGATAGAACGTGGTCTGGGGGGAGGAAGCAGAAGGAAAGAGCTTCCTGAGAGCTGCAAGGGATAGAGGGAGGTGGGGAACCATGATCGCCTACGTCCTGAAAGGACATCGCACATAAAAAAGAAGGTGAAATGAATTGGATAGAAAATGCCCAAAGACAGAGAGTGATGTTTTTCAGTGCTTGGCAAGGTCTACCATCAACTTAAAAATGTACTGGAATGTATGACAAGAATTTGTAAAGCAGTAATTAAAGGAGTTGATGGTTTTATTGATAAAATATTAGGATGCTGTTGTATGATAATTCTTTTATAGTTAAGTACTTATCTTGTGTTTAAATAAAAGCAAACTCGCTTTTACTTTAAGAAAATACAAAAATATCTCATTTTAAGGTGTTTTAATAAAAAGAAATGCAGGCTGGCCCCAAATTGTTTACTTGTAGTATATATATATATATATATATATATATATATATATATATGTGTGTGTGTGTGTGTGTGTGTGTAATGGCTGCACACTCATTAAACAAGAACGCATGCAGATGAAGTGGTACTGCACGACCTCTGTAAATTCGATTTTACCTGCACGCCATTTTATAGTCAGTCATAACTTGTGAATTATTATATCGTCTCTTAGCATCACCAGCCTTGCTCCAACAAGAACCAGTCAAAACAATTTAGACACTCTACCGTATATGAATCGAGTAATCTAATGAGAAGACTCTGGCGTGGGCGTTAATGCCCGAATTTTATAGGATTATATGACGTCTGCCAATATATATATATATATATTGGCAGACTTTTTAATATATATATATATATATATATATATATATATATATATATATATATATATATATATATATGTAAAATGAGTACGTATAGAATACAATTTCAACGTTCGTAATATTCAATGTAGCGCAGTTTTCTTTATTTTAGGATATTAAAACATTTTACATGTTTCTTTTGTAATATCTTAAAATAAAATATATATATATATATATATATATATATATATATATATATATATATATATATATATATATATATCGTTCTCTACAGACAAACTGTTTCGCTTTTATCACAGCTCTGCAGTGTGCAGTGTGGTTAGACATCAGATCGCTTCAAGCCGGGACCGAGACCCGACCGATTTGTATGGATATGAGCTTGTGATATCAAATATATTATAAATTCCTTATATTCAATGTCGGAACTAAATGGTATATATTCAGCGCGCATACATTATCTAACGATCCCAAGTATAGATGTAAACCTTCCGTATTCCAGTCTAGTACTCTTACGACTCGCTTATCCGAATATATCAGGTTAATTCCTGTTTTCATTGAAGTTTGCACAATAAAGAGGATAGTATTTAACTTTGCTGCACACTTTACACAACATTGTGAACGTGTCCATCTTGTGCAAGACTTTTATGTAAGATAACATAATAAATGCTCATGATTTCTTATCATTTTCTTTTCGTCTCTTCGCCTCCTTCGTCACCTTCATGCACCGTACGGAGCCTGGAGCAGCTTATTGTTTATTTGTCAAAATCACAACGTCTAATAAAAAGCATAGCGTGGGCATTAAAGTGGAAAGTTCTAATTGAAGATGTTTGTTTGAACATATAAGAGAAAACAAAAGGAGGGTCAGGCTGACGGGCTGGTTGTAGTATAGAATTTTCATGATGAGAAGGATGAAGTAGACGATGGAAGCGAGGTTGCTGGCGGTGGATGCGAAGGTGGAATTGAAATGAAGGAGAGCTGAGTCAATAGGACTTACCTTATTTTATGATCGCTTTTATTGTTTCTGAAGATACGAAGATTGGGATGATGCCCTAGTTGTTGGAAGAAGCCGAGACTCTATTTCTTGTGTGGGTCAGTTGGACGGGCCAACAGCTAAAACGTTGTAGAGTTAGTTGGATTGAGAAGACGTAAATGGTGCTAATTTATTATGCGAAAAGACCGATCGCACTTAACTTTATATTGCAATGAGGGGCTGAATCGAATCAAGAGTGGCACGCTCTATACTACCATTGTCGTAATTCAGGAAGTTGTACGCTTTCATGAGGAGAGCGAAGCATGAAAATAATGGTGTACTGGCGGTACTTAATGTATTGAAGATCAGTGAAAGGGTCCGAACAAATGATTTAGTTCCGTTCATGTTGTCACAAGTCGAGGGTACGTGAGGCTTATGGCGACAGAATAATTTTTACATTTATTCTTGGAAGAATAATCTGAAAATGGATGACATTATTAACTCAAAGTGCTGTGAAATTTTATAAGATAAACCTTCATTTTATCTGATACTCTAATTATCGATTTTTATAAACAGGAATATCATTTCACAATTTAATTTATATTTTGCAGGTGCCGTGAGATGTTGATAGTGCATTCTTGTAATTCAAGAATAGAAAATATATTTATTACTTTATTTGACGGCATAATAGGTGCACTTTTTTTTTTTTTACTAAAAATAACTTTTAAAATTCCCCTGCGTCTTATATGTAGATTTAAAATTCACTATAGTCGACCGAAATTAGATGACGTATTATCTAAGGACGATGATAGTATTTATTATTGAAAATGAGCATCAGAGTTTTGATAACGAAGACGACGAATTTTATGGAGTTGAAAATCAATAAAATTTTAATGGTAACTGTACTGTGCTCAATTGTAATAATTGTTTGAATTTTTATTTTGTTTTCTTACCTTTGGATATAATAAAGTTTTTATAGGCTCGTGTTCTTTTTTTCCTATTATTTTCTGTTTAATTGTAGTCATGGCTTGTTTAACCAAAATAATATCTCATAAATAGAGCCTACGCCTATTTACTAATAATTTTACTAATTACTATTTTTTTT